TTAGACTTTCCATCCATGGGGAATCTTTGGACAAGAGTGAGGCAAGTAACACATTCGGCACCTCTCTGTTAATGGATGAAAATAGCAAGTCAATAAATTCATTTCACAATACACAGTAAAAAGAGGTTTCTACGGTGTGTCAGCAAGTCAGTACAGATACAATCCAACTCTAGTGTACAAAAAGGAGCACAGGTTTTGAAATCAATCAGAGCTATATTCAATTCCTTGATTCCCTCAATTACTAGCTTGAATTTAGATGTGTCATTTAACTTTCAGAAAATTAAATTTTCTCACCTGTAAAACTGGGACAATGATGATATTCATATCACAGGTAGGCCTGGGATTCAAATGAGGTCACATACATGAAAGATATTTGAATATCCTGTTGTATGAATTATTATTACATACTCGGTGCCTAGAATTTCCTCTTTGACTTATTCTTCTACAAGAGAATAAAAATCTCAGCAAGGGAAGCTACTGATGTTGGTGTAGTCATTTCTTACTTTTCCAAGGTGATTTACCAGCCAAAACATAAATTATGTAAAGAAGTAAAATAGAAAATAATGTATTCACATTTTTATATTATTCACATCCGTAACATTGTCTGTATTTTCTTAAGCAGCAGAGTAGACCTCTTTGAAGGTCGCTTATAGATTTTATGGAGAGAAATGTATCTCTCCTATTCCCAATCTCTAAAGAGCTATGTAAGTGAAAGACTGAGAAGTATTTTTTTAATTTTCTTTTAAATACAATGATGTACAAGGCTTTGTTTTTTTACTGTGGAAAATCAAAGCAAAGTATTTGGTTCCTACTTCTGAGGCATTTGCAGTCTATTTGAAGAGGCAAGATACAAGTAGTTTGTTTAAAATTTTTAATATAATCAGATTGTCTATGTTAACAATCTGGTTCCTACCAGAAAGAGGCTTGGTGTTTGCTCAACCTGTTGTTGTTTTTTTTAACTATTTCTGAGCACATATCACAGTGTATTCTGACAAATGTTACGTGCTTCTTATTCAGATGTCCTTCCTTTATAACACTGGAGGCTTTCCTAGATGCAACATTGGGCAAGTTAGCAAAAAAAAAAAAAAAAGTAATGAAACACTAGCCTTGCTGAAAATGTTCTTACAATGGCAATCCAGCTTCCTAGGATCACCCAGGAGCACCTCATGTTGGACGAAGCCAAGCAGCAAGCAAGTTTCTGTAGAGAAATGGAGTTCTGGAATGGAAGAGGTGTCTGGTGCTGGGGTGGGTCCTGATGGTGGAGAGTTGTGGTAAAAGCGGCTTATCTGCTAGTCCTGGTTAGCAGCTCTCATGATGAGCACCCATTTATCAAATACAATGAGCTCATAGTCATGATAGCTACCACTGCTTCATCTGCTTTGCGTAAAATTCTATAGCAGATGCTTCACACCTTCTATCCAAATTCATCCTCATCATTAATTATCCATTAATTATTAGACATTAATTATCCTCTCTCTTCCCAATGAAGAAACTGAGGCTGTACAATGATAAAACTAACTTGACAAAGGTCATGCTTTCTGTAAATAACATAGAAATTAAACCCCAGTCTGCTTAGCTGTAAAAGTCTTTCCTCTACAGCAGTATATTCAGACTGGCGCACTCCTGCAGGTTCACTTGCATTCTCTAAAGGATACATGGCACAGAGAATTTTAAGGAAATTTATTTCCAGGTCCTCCCCTCAAGTATACTTTTCTAAAATGAATTTGAGTGAGAAGGCTCCTGAAGGTTCTCCTTTCAGACATCCCCTTTCACAATCTCCCTTCCCTGACTTTTCAAAAGAAAGACATACCTT